AGGATGATATTAAAATTCATACTCATAATAAAAACTGCTGCCTTATTAATATTCTTAATTTAATATTAATTTGTTATGATGAGTTTTCTGGTTTTCAGCTTCATATGTCTGACCATTTCCCTTTCCTCCTTGATGACAAAGAAACCAGGAGGCCTTATTTTGACATTTAGAAAAAAAAAGAAAAAAACATTTGGTGACATTTTATGAATCAAACAGATGATCGATCTAAGGCGCACTAGACCCGACAGGTTAATGATAATAAGGACAAGCCTGTGTTCACACACCAAGAACCTTTAGAACCACAGTAACCACACACAACACAGACAGATGTGGCCCACATCTTTGGTGTACCTCCAGGCCCTAATCTGGGGTTAATCTTTGTTTCACCTCACATGAACATGATGGGAAATTGTGGGGTTTTTTTTAATCTGCTGAGGGCCACATGTTCAACTTTTGATCACACTCATAATTTTCACTAATCTAATCCAATCTAATTGAATCAAGTGAAGACCAGCTTATTCTAATCCAGTCCAGTCCAATTAAATCCAGTCCGGTCCAGTTGAATCCAGTCCCGTCCGGTTGACTCTAGTCCAGTCCACCTATTATAATATGACCAATCAAAGTCTTCTGTCTGGTCTCAGGTCGTCTCGCGTTGATTGTGTCAACACTTTCTCGTTGATGTTCTTAACTCTGCTGTAGAACGTTCTACCAACCTTTGATCAAAGTTCTCCTTCACAGATACATCTGTAGTGACATCATCATAAAACACCTTCACTGACCTCTACTACTACTCTGTGTACTACTACTACTACTGCGTGTACTCTATCTTAATACGCTTCTAGAATGGAGTACTGTATTTAAGTGGACTGGGCTCTAGGGGGCCGGGGGATTTGAACCAGTAAGATAAGAGGAGCGTCAGTGGAATCTGTTTCTAGCTGCTGTCTATTTCAGTCTCCTCTGTGATGCCGGGGGAGTCGACTAAGCCCCGTAAATTTACTGGGACATGAGTGTGGGGGGAGGCGCTCTCTCATCCCTGGGGTCAGTGAGACGCAGGAGGTGCTGGAGACTTTCTCCAAAACCATTTCCTGACTGCTGTCATCTCAGCAGCGACCAGACTCCAGCTCCTCAGCAGAGTCTGGTCCTGTGGGTCAGGTCTTAGACCTGACACTCAGTTACATAAACTCTGAGTGAGCCACTGGATTATTAATGTCAGTCAGGAAGAGCACATACAGTAGGACACAGTCGTCACCCCCCTCCTCTCA